CTGCGCTTGTTGTCCAGGATACAAGACTCGGACTTGCTCTGTGTATCAAATAAGTCCGTGTACATACTAAAATCCGACCATATTTTAGGCATCATGTCAGAGTTCTAAACTTAACTGTTCACAATTCAATGCCCCAATTCAATGGGTTTGTTTTGATATTCTGACAGTTCCGTACCACCACGATTACCTCAAGGCAACTTAAGGAGATGACAAGAACAATTGTGGATGTCACCTGTTTGTAAAATCCATCAATCTACACTTCAAAATAATTCATTTAGAAGCATCAAATATTCCACAACGGTGTCCTAGGCAGAAGAAAGAATTCAAGACTAAGTCTTCCGAGCTGAATGAGAGATACTTCGAGGTGTTATGCCACCAAAGGCAAGAGGGAATACACTATTATGTTGTGAAAGAAACTTAATTGTATCATTCAGATCACAGTGGGAAGAGAAGGGCGTCAGTATGGGTTAACTAGGCGCCACTCCTATCTGACTACCTTAGAGGGGAAAAAAGGAGGCGAAAACGAATGAAAGCATCCCTCTGCCTCCTCCCGCTTTTAAAAACAAGGTGTTGTGATAATGAAAAAAAATCACAAATGAAGGTTATGTTGTTAGTGGGCCATGACGCTAGCAGCAAAGGCAAACCCACGTGGAATGGAGGCAAGTGATGTAGCGTTGCGATTTAAGCCTATTTAACAAAAAAAAGAATCAAAAAATAATGAACTAATTTAAATAGAGGGATTACCATTGTAAAGCCATAAATCACGGACATGTACCGGCTTGAGATAATACTGCAACCATCACTAGTACAAAAGCGGCCAAATAGGTTTGTGATTCATCACTTTCGCATTGCTGCCATTAGAAGGGAGGGCGCTACAGCAACCCGATTTCCCCGATTTACAGACAAGGCAGCTGTACACGCACTGCATCCTGAATCTGCACTCCGTTCGCTGCCGTTGGAATTGTTTATTCAGGTGTTAAATTTTAGACCAAAATGTATGCATGTATGTATGTTTAACTACGCAAGATGTGCACATTTATTCGTTCAGCTTACCATTGGTGTTTGCCGGACCCAGTTCTTTTACACTAAAAGCAACAAAATGAAAGTCAAGACAGTAAAGTGAGTAAAAATAATGAGGTGAAGAAAATAATCCCTAATTATAGGGTTTTGAAAGTCAACAATGCTGAGATTGCCTCGTGTTTGAAAGTAAAAGAAAAGTGCAATAAATCGTGCTACTCAGGTGTCAAAAAAGACATGAGAGACAATAAGCAAACTTTGACTACCTCTATTGACAGACATCAATCAGTGTTCCCAACTTTACTGTCTGTCCTTGTGCGGTTTGTGTGACTTCATTTGTCGTCTTTACACAAAATTACCTTAACCCCACGAAAGAGAGTTTATGATGGGAAAAAAAGGTCCTATGAAGAATTGGATCATCCTGAGTAATTCTTAAGGTGCCATTGTGTTGGAAACGATCGTAATTAATCCAGTTATAACTCGACAAGTCGAGTTATCTCCAAAGGCAAAAAAATGGTAACCTTCTTCATAGCTTCTGACACAGAACGGTAATGGAGAAGTGAAGGCAAGACACAAAGCCTACCGATCAGCATAGCGGAGGGTGTTGAGAGTGTGTTCGCATGAGGAGATACCGGGTGAGATCATGGCTATCATACAGGTTCGCGAACGATCTCCAATGAAGGAGTCACGTAACACCTGGGTTAACTTGCTAGCCCGGAAGGGTGTATGTGCGCCTTTGCGACCCAACGCCCGAATACACTCCTACGAAGTCATAAAAAGAGAAAAGAAGAAGAAACAAAGGACTAAATGATGGGTGAGTAGAATGCAGAGTGATGAGGAATGTGTGAAAATGAATAAAGTAAAAATTATCAAATTGGATGAATGTAAAGACAATCATTTAGCCAACCAAACGGCCAAACAGACATGATGAAAGAAATCATTCACCTTTACAAAAAATGGATAGATTTGATATGTATTTGCAAGACTCATACAAAAGGGTGGATTCAGGATTTGAGTGAATCGGTACATTTAGAATCAAATATATGCAACATTTATTTAGTAAGTGGAAAGATCTGTAGAAATCTTACAAGCACCCGGATGAAAACAGACGAATGAACTGCGTAGAAAGTTGCATGAGTGCGTAGTTGGACGGATGGAGGATTGAGTAAAAAATAAATAGGTACGGAAGCATGAAAGGGATTGGTAATTTGATAAATGGTTTTTCTATGCTAATGGAAGGTCATGGATAGGTGATAAGGTCAAATGTAGTGGTTACAACAAAGAACAAATACCTTAAGTGCGAGAAGGCTCTTGTTGATTTCAGCACCCTCCATCCGTGTGATTCTGTCAGCAGAACTTGTGTCAGCGCCCCTCTCATTGCCAGCCAAATCGATGAGGGAGAACTTTCCAAAGAGCTTATTCGTGCCTCGTCGTTTGAGAATCAACTGAAAATCATCAAAGAGACCAGTTACCAGGCAACGTCAATGTCCACCGATATGATCACAATCACAAAATTTGCGACACGTATTCCAATACAGGGTTGATAAATAGTGTCAAAAACAAATAGATTCAAAGCGCAGAATGAAGATATTTGGCTGGCTCCCCAACAGTAAAACATCCGAGCTTGATGACTGATCTTTGCCCTAAGGCAAGCTCTTCTATTTTCAACAGTTCACACCAGCCTTTTAAATGGCGGCACAAAAATTTCACATTTGATGTCAAAGAACAAGGGAATTTGAAGCATCAACATTCCAGTTGACGGGAGCGTTGGAACAGGTAAACTTGCATCACTAAACACCTCCAAGCACAAAGGAAGCTTGTGCGTAAAAGAATGTAAACAAATAATTCCACTGGAGTGCCGGGGCCGTTAATGGCTGTAATCCGATTATGATGAGAGTTAGGAGACGATTCACACCACACACCATAAGACAAATGAAACAAAGCCCACCACGTAAAAATTAAGCATACACCAGAAAGCAATTAAACATTGTGGGCAGGAAATCAAAACAAACCATCATAATACAATTTATCAATTCATAATGAGTTCCCCAATCAGATTTTAAAAATCTTAATGCTTGCTTCGCCTTTCATTGTGAAAACAGTCTAGGGCTATTTTTGCCAGAGTGACTCGCTAATCTAAAACAGCTGATACGGAAACAATGACAACAGGTTCAAGTACCGGTGGATGTTGATTCTGTTGGTGAACAAGATTAGTAACTTGATAAAGGAAGTTTCATTTGGGTTGCAGATTTTAGATTTCCAAGTAAACCAATCACCTCGGGCCATCGAGATGGAGGTGGGGAATATGGTTACCCATAAATCAGCCGTGTGGAAGTTCTCACGGAGCTAAACCATTCGAAATGACCCGTCTAGCTTTATTTGAGGAAATTCCATAAACAAAAAAATTAACCGCCTGAATGTCTGATCTCCAACATTAAAAAAATTACGTTCCCCTAGAAGGCAGGAGCGTGGTGAGGGTAACGAGTAATCTATCTTTTGATCGAGTAGATTAAAGTGGATTGAACTTAAAAACTCATAGAATGAAGCAACTCCCAGTTTCAAGAGTAGAAAGTACAAACACCAACCTGGAAAACGGCGTGCGACCGACTGGAATGTTGATTAGCCGAAGTCTGACCGCTAGTCCTGATATCAGCACCGTGTTTGAGGAGACGAAGGACATCTTCAACCGAGTGGACAGGTTCGTGCCGCAGGCCCACCACCTGAACCTGATTCTTAGCGTCCTCCAGCACACGTAATTTTGCCTTCTTGTTTAGGAGATCGTAGACCTTCCCACTGTAGATTTCGAAAAATGCTGCATCCACGCATAGGTCCTCGTGGCAGTACTTTGTTGCATTAAGATGGAAAACGTCGCGGGCTGAACAGCAAATTGGATCGAAAGCGGAAAAGTGAGCAACAAATTACTAGCTCATGCCACTCAAACTCCCAAAGCTCATTTAAACTGCAGCAAAGGCGATGTTTCCACCCATTATTAAGTAGCGTTTGCCTATTGCATCAGACAAAACCCATTTTTTACTGACTCGATGTAC